CAATTATGATACTAATAATAATAATAACAATAATGATAAATGTGTTGAGGATGAGGATGAGGATGAGGATCATGATGCTGCTGATGATGATCTGATGGTGATGATGATGAGGATGGTGATGATGATGGTGGTGGCGGTGATGATGATGATGGCGGTGCTGATGGTGTTGGTGATGGTGATGGTGATGTTGATGATGATGATGGTGCAGATAGTGATGATGATGATTATTATTATTATTATTGTGACTATGCTGATGCTGATGCGGATGCGGATGTTGATGATGACGATGATGATGATGAGGATGAGGATGAGGATGATGATGATGATAATTCCTGTTATTGTTATTATGTTTTTGGTGCCGATAATTAGCAGCTTTATTATTTGTACGTTTCATGATACCGGGGAAAAAACGCAATTCTTATTTGTTTAGGGCTATAGGACCATAGGGCTATAGTTCTATAGGGCTATATGGCTATAGGGCTATAGTGCTATAGAGCTATAGGGCTATAGGGCTGTAGGGCTATAGGGCTATAGGGTTATAAGGCTATAAGACTATAGGGCTATAGGGCTATAGGGCTGCAGGGCCATGGGGCGATTGGGCAATAGGGCTATAAGGCTACAGGGCTATAAGGCTATAGGGCTACAGGGCTGTAGGGCTATACGGCTGTAGGGCAATAGGGCCAGACGGCTGTATGGCAATAGGGCTAGAGGGCTATAGGGCTATAAGGCCATGGGGCTATAGGGCTACTGCGCACCCAAGCCCCCGGGCACAGGGGCACCCGGGCGGGCCGCAGAAATCGGCGGCAAAGCTCACCTAACCATGTGAATCCGCTAGGACCCCTACAGAGGCAAGCTCTGATTGGGGAATTATTATGGTGGTAGTGGCGATGATGATGACGATTGTAGAGGAGGCGGAGGAGGGAAAGGAGGTGTGTGAGGGGGAGCTAGTTTCGGTGGGCACCGCTCGATGACAGCGCGAAGGCAAGAATCATGAGGAGAAGGGCAGGGAGGGAGTTGGGAGGAGGATAGATCAGAGAGGCAGGATCCAGGGGCAGGGAGGAAGGAGGGAACTGGGAGGGGGGTGACACAGGAGAGGGGGCCAGGTTCGGCGGACACCGCTCGGTGGCAGCACACAGGACCAATGTAATACTCATCGAGTGTGGAGACGTATTGGTCTCAGCCAAGCTCGCATGTTCTTGTCGCTTCAGCGCGAGCATAGGGCAACTGCGGCAGGACGCGAGCCTACCTGGTCAGGGCGACCCTCTTGGTATGGGGCCTTGCTCCAGCGTCTAAGCGGCCTCGAGGCTTGCCCAGTTCGCTTCCCTCGAGAAGTGGCTGCCTGCGCCGCCGCCAGCGACGGTACAGTGGGTGCCCATACCAAGAAACACCCCGCTTGCGTCCAGGGTGCCCTGGGTTTCTCGGGTTTTTCGATGGTTTTGCTGTGGAGAGCGCGACGTTCCCACACCAAGAATCAAGTGATGCCCTGGGGTCTCAGGGTTGGGTTTCTTACGGAAGGTTTCTGGTGGACTGGCCTCCACTGCGAGCTGCAACCCTTATGTTGCCGACTCCAGCTTCCGACGGAGGAGGAGGAGGAGGAGGAGGAGGAGGAGGAAGAGGAAGAGGAAAATGAGGAGGAGGAGGAGGTGGAGGAGGAAGGCTTCTTGTGGACTGGCCTCCACTGAAATCGCACTTCGCGACCCGGGCTGGAGGCGGCTGCCCTGCGCCCCGGGGGGCGGCGCGGGCGCACGAGGACGCCCCCGCCTCGCGCAGCGCCGGAGCGCGACGCGAGGCGACCCAGAAGCAGTACCCCTCGGTCGGTGAAAGCAGGTACTTTTAGGACGGGCCTGTCCCCCTACAGGGGGATTTTCGACGAAGAATAAAAGATTCCCCCTCTTCATAGTCAAAAAATAGTCCAAAAATAGTCACGGGACTATTTTTTGAGCATTTTTTGACCATGTTGGGGTATTTGGGGGGTATTTTTTGTTTTTCGTCGAAAATCCCCCTGTAGGGGGACACGCCCGACATAACGGTACTTCTGGATTCCCAGATTCCAATCTACTTTAGGCGTCTTCCTACTTCAAGGATCGAGTGGCTTCGCCTCTTCCGTCCTCCCTAGGGGGCGGGCGGAGACCCAATCTACATTCAACGCCTTCCTACTTCATATTTCTACCTAGTCGACTGGTGGGGACTCACCCACAGCCCCTCTGCGCCCGAAGGTGCAGGGGCCCTCGCCAGGCCTCGGGACCGTCAAGCATGGACTCAGGGCGAAAAACTGGCCCTAGGGAAGTGGTCCAGCCCTCCAGGGCCCACGCATCGAAAAATCTGGAGCAGCCGGTTGTCTGGGGAGGTACCTGCAAGTACGCCTTCCTGAGGCCGCCGAGGGTACCTGCCAGGATGTCGGCAGCCCGAAGGTGTCTACAACTGCCCCTCCCTGGGCAGACCGGAGATACCTGCAGGTAGGCTTCCCTGAGGCCCCCGAAGGCTGGATGCGCGGGCCGCAGCAAGGCCAGGAGGTCACCAGAGGTCGCGCCAGAGGCGGAAGACAGGCCCAAAGCGCCCACCCCCCATCCTCGACCCACGATCGGGGAGGATGGGGCGATGTGAACTGTGCACATACAGTCAACGCGCCTAGTAAGGACGCGCGCCTTCCTCTAGGGTACCCTTGCATCCTTGCCTCTGCGGCCCGTCCTTTGCCGTTTTCACTGGTCGCTGCCGCCCAAAAAATCCCAACTTCAGCCTCCAAGGGTCTTGCGTCCTTACCACGCGTCCTTACTACACGTTTTCACTGTAAACCGAGGCTGCCAGGGTCGAGGAGGCTCGGGGGGCAAGCACCGTGCACTCCCCTCCCTCCCTCCCTCCCTGCCCCCTCCCCCGAGGCAGCAGTGCCTGGAGCTGCGCCAGCTGATCATCCCCACGATCTTGCACACCGACAACACCAAGCACTTCGAGATGGTCAAGGATCAGGGGGGAAAGAAACACACATTCTCAATTAATCGTCGACTCCCACGAAAATATGGGAAAATATGGGAAGTGGGAGGGAAGACGAAAACCCAGAAGATATGCGAAAATATGGGGAATATTCTCATTTGTGTGTGTGTATTTATGTGTGTGTCCTGGGGCCCCTTCAAAGGAGGTCCAGACGATGTACGAGCTGAACTCCGAGGCGCTGGACGCCGGCAAGGAGGTCTACGCGGCGAGCAGGGCCGACTGGCCGCCGCCGGGGTGCGTCGAGTGCCTCCGCGCGCCAGAGTCGCGCAAGCTCCTGCTGAAGCTGTGTCTCCACATGGCCGACATCTCGAACCCCATGAAGCCCTTTCGGGTGTGCCGGATCTGGGCCTCGCAGGTGCGCGGGGGGGGGGCTGAAGCTCGAAGAAGAAGAAGAAGAAGAAAAAACGCCATAAACATAAAATTTTGGCGCTCCGCGCGGATTTCTTGGATCCGCGCTGGGCCCGCGCGCCAGGGAGGGAGGTCCAGCGATGATCCAAGAAACCCGCGCGGGGCGCCAAAAGTTTACGTTTATGCCGGTTTTTCTTCTTCTGCACATGACCGGCGTCTCGAACCCCCATGAAGCCCTTTCGGGTGTGCCAGATTTGGGCCTCGCAGGCGCGGGGGGGGGGCCCCGAAGCGGTGCAGTGACCACGCCGCATAGTGAGCGAGTCAGAATTCGGGGCGGCCGCACGGTTTCTGTTGGGCTTGGGTGTTGTTTCGGCGGCGAGCACGGGGGGGGGGAACTGAGAGGGAGAGGGCCCTCTCAGAAGTCGGCGGGGCTTGAACACGTCCGTGTCTTCGGGGAAGGCTTAGAGAACTGTTCAGAAGGCCAGTGGACTTCCAAGCCTTCTGAGAAGGCCCGCCCCTTCTCACTTCCCCCCCAGCCTGGCCGCCGATCTGAGGGTGTCTCGGGCGACTGGTGCGGTGACGGACCATGCGATGAGGTTTTCGGGGATTCCGAGGTCATAGCACGGTCGGTCGCCGCACTGTTTGGGGACCCCCAGAGGTGTTCGAGGAGTTCTTCCAGCAGGGCGACATGGAGCAGAAGTTGGGCGTGCCAGTGCAGGCGATGAACGACCGCGGGAAAGTGAACCGCGCCTTTTCGCAGGTCTCGAGTAGGGGATCGACTACAGAATCGATTTACCCCCAAATTGGTTTTTCGTCGAATCCATGAAAAATGCTACGTCTTTTTCTTGTATACTCGAGAAGGAAATCAATTTGGGGGAAATCGAAGGTCGGCTTCATCGAGCTCATGGTCTCGCCCCTGGTCTTCGGGGCGCTCGAGATCCTGCCGCCGCTGGAGGCCAACGCCGAGATGCTCGTGCAGAACGCCAGGGCGTGGTACGAGGTCTGGCTGAAGGACTCTCGGCCTCCCGGATGGGGTCGGAGCAGGTGGGGTCGGAGGATCGCGCCGCATCCCCGATGCATCGACGATGCGGCTCGATGTAGAGCCCGATTTGCTTCACGTCGACGTCGCCGATGCATCGCCGACGTCGACGATGCAACGCTGGTGCATCGCCGATACATCACCGATGTATCGGCGATGCGGCGCGATCCTCCGACCCCATCCAATTACTCCGACCTCATCTAGGAGGCCTCTAAGGACACCAAGCCGGCACCGAGCGAGGACGAGAAGGATGCCCTCGCCAAGCGCATACAGGCGATGGAACGCAGGCGAGAGCGGCGCGGCAACAGATCACTGCTTGCCAACCCACTCCCACCCAGCCCGAATGCCCCAGACCTGCTCAACAACTCGGGTTGGGGTGCACACGGGTTCCATCGTGCTTTCTCAATTTTCCAGAATGCACCCCCCCATTGGAAGTTGGCGGGCCCAACGGGGACTTCGGGTTGGGTGGGGTTGGCTTGGCAGGTAGTCAACAGCAGGGTCAGCCGCGCGGGCACTCGCGCGTGAGCCGCCCGCGTCAGGTCGCGCGTAATTCGGCGCCCCGTGTCTCCACGCGGCGTGCCGCGCTGGAGACCCGCGCAAGCCACCGCCCAGCGCGTGAGTCCGCCGTGTCCTCTTCTGCAAAGCATCGGGCGTTTGGAACATGAACGCCGCGCGACCCCAAGGAAGGCATTGTTCTGTTTGGATGTGATGTGCATTGTTTGATGCGCATGGTGGCCCGCACTCTCAGGACCCTTTCGGGATCTTTCGGAGGGGGCCCGTCGAGAGCGTCTGGGAGGCTTCTCGAGGGTGTTTTGGGGTCCTCTTGGGGGCGGTTTGTGCGCCACGCGCCGCAAGACCTGACTCCTCCTCCTCCTCCTCCTCCTCCTCCTCCTCCTCCTCCTCCTCATTCCCCTCTTGCCTCTCCCCCGCAGGTACCTCGAGGTACTCGAGACCGTCGAGGAGGAGTAGTGCGCACGCACCCGAGGCCGAGCCCGCCCGCAGGCTGGCCGCCCCCTTTCCTGCGCGCCGCCGTCGTCGTCGCCGTCGCCGTCGGCGTCGGCTTCGGCGTCGGCGTCGGCGTCATCGTCGTCGGTTCGGCGCCACCGTCGGCGGTCGCCGTCGGCGGCGTCCTCGTCAGCTGTCGCCGTCGGCGGCGTCCTCGTCAGCGGCGGCATGCGACGCACTATCTGCTGCGGCGGGCAGGAGAAAGGCATCTCTCCCGTCCTAATTACCGCCACCACGCCACTGTAACTCCTGCTACCTCCTACACCCTTACATGGGAACTCGTTTTTGTTCAAACTTCCTTGTCTTCGTTGCCGTCGTCGGCAGTAGCGTCGGCGTCGTCCTCGTTGGCGTCGGCGTCGGCGGCGCCGTCGTCGATGGGGGAGGAGCGGAAGGGACGCCGCCGAGGCCGAGCGCAATGCTGCCGGCCGCCGGCGTCTCGGCGCCCTTGCTGCACTCGCGCGGCCTCTGCCCTTCGTCGTCGTCGCCCCCGTCGTCGTCGTCGCGGTCGTCGTCGTCTCAGTCTCCGCCCGCCTCCTCCTGCTCGTGCTCTCGAAGAAGATGACTTCAGCATGAACTGTCGAGGGTCCGCGCGGAGTACAGGGATTCGCCTCCTAGCGAAGTACCCCTACCCAACCCGAAGGTCCGATGTGCCATCCCTCTTGGGGCCATTTGGGGGGTTCTTCTTGGCCGTGCTGGGGCTGGGTTGTCTTAGGGCGACCTTGGGGTTTGTTTGACGTGTTGCCGGCGTCGGGAAGCCGAACAAAACGAGAGCACCAGCGCTTGGCAAATCCATGCCCCAAATCAAGGAATTTTGCTTCTCGAGGCCCTCTTGGGGGAGCATTCGGGGCCCCCGTGGGTCGTTTTGGGGCCATTTTGGGCGCATTGGACTGGTCGTTCGGCAACTGGGACCCTCGCGGACCGTTCCGGAGGCCTTTTGGGGCTGTCCTGGTTCCTTTTGAATCCGAAATTGACGCGGCGAAGCCCAGGAACGCCCCCGTAAATAATCCTCCGGGTTGAGGACGGATGGCCCTAAGGACTCCAGCTCGTGCCTTTGGGCACGGTGGCGGCTTTGGACGGATGGAAGGCGAATCCTCTTCTACATGGGGCCATCGCTGGGTATTCTTGGACCATTTGGTTCCAGTTGCGCGGTAGTGGCGCGGGCTAATGTTAATTTGTATGACTCGTATTATTATTCCTTCTGGTCATATTAGAATTCTTAGTAGCGACAGTAGTATCAGTCGAATTATTTGTAATACGACTAATGTTATTTGTGTCATTCGAACTATGAGCATGTTGCATTCGCATTTGGGTCATTATTGTACGTGCTACTATTTTATTGTAGTATCATCGTAGTGGAAGTCGTGGTAGTAGTAGTCGTAGTTGTAGTCGTAGTAGAAGTAGTAGAAGTAGTAGAGGTAGTAGAAGTAGTAGAAGTAGAATTATAATAATAAGTAGTAGTAGTAGTAGTAGTAGTAGTAGTAGTAGTAGTAGTAGTAGTAGTAGTAGTAGTAGTAGTAGTAGTAGTAATAGTAATAGTAATATTGTAAGTAGTAGAGTCGTAGTAGTAGTCGTAGTAGTAGTAGTAGTAGTAGTAGTAGTAGTAGTAGTAGTAGTAGTAGTAGTAGTAGTAGGTAGTAGTAGTAGTAGTAGTAGTAGTAATAGTCGTAGTAGTAGTAGTAGTAGTAGTAGTAGTAGTAGTAGTAGTAGTAAGTAGTAGTAGTAGTAGTAGTAGTAGTAGTAGTAGTAGTAGTAGTAGTAGTAGTAGTAGTAGTAGTAGTCGTAGTAGTAGTAGTAGTAGTAGTAGTAGTAGTAGCCTCATCGTCACGTGCTACTGTTATTATATTAGTAGTAGTGGCATTCTCGTTAGCATCACCACTATAATGATACGTTCCATCAGCGAAGAGACACGAGCAGCAGGCAGGCCTCTGGACACCGCCGTGCATTTTACGATCCTAACCTCTTCGCGCTCCCTGCGTTACGGGTGGACAGATTCGGAGCTGATCCTTTAGGTTAAAAAAGCGCGGCCGTCGCCATGACGGCCAGCCTGCTTGGGCGCTCTTCTGTCACAAGGGTCGTCTCCCGCTGTAAAACACTTGTATCGGTGAGTTACTGTTGGGGGCTCTGGGACGGGCAGGTCTATGGCAGCACCGCTGGCGCATCCTGAGTTTACCTTGGTTGTCGTCCTCCTCCTCCTCCTGCTCCTCCTCCTCCTCGCCATCCTCCTTCTCCTCGTCTTCCTCACCTCCCTCCTCCTCCTCGTCCTCCTTCTCGTCCTCCTCCTCCTCGTCCTCCTCCTCTTCCTCCTCTTCTCCCTCCCGCGGTGCACGGCATCCCGCTGCACTGCGCATTGTTCTCTCTTTTGTTTGTGTCGTCAACGTCGCCGTCGCCGTCACCGTCGCCGTCCTCACACTCCTTCCCGTCCTCCTCTCCTCTCCTGCTCCTCCCCGCTCCTCCCCAGAGCCTCCCAAGACGACAGGAACGCCGCCCCTCTGAGGGGCGGCGTTGCTGTCGTCTTGCGAGTCGTTGTCTGCCTTCGTCGTCGTCGCCATCGTCGTCGTTCCCATCTTCTTGCGCGTCGTCTTTTGTCGTCGTCGTCCTCCTCCTCCTCGCTAGTCTTCGTCGGCGTCGTCGCCGTCGCCGCTGTCGTGGTCGCTGTCCCCAGCCATCCGCGGGCCCGCCGCGGCACGTCAAGCGGGCGCCTGGGCCGCGCGGCAGGTGGCAGAAAAGACAGGTGCTTCCTCCTCCGCCTCCTCCTCCTCTCCGCCTCCTCATCATCTTCCTCTTCATCCTCCTCATCCTTCTCCCTCCTCCTCCTCCCTCCTCCTCCTCCTCCTCCTCCTCCTCCTCCTCCTCCTCCTCCTCCGCCTCTTCTCCCTTTTCCTCCTCCTCCTCCTCCTCCTCATCCTCCTCCTCCTCCTTCTCCTCTCCCTGTCTCCCTCCGACCCGACGGCACCTCCTGCACCGTCGGGTCGGAGAACCAGGAGGACTCGGCCGTGCGGAGTTCGCCATGCATGTCATGGCGTTGGCCGGTCGACGCGCGCCCGGCGTGCTTGAGGCAGCTGACGGGCTCATGGCTGGCGTTCCCGTCCCGACTCGCCTCCACAGCTTCGCAGCATGCGGCGGCCGGTGCAGTCCCAGCGGAGCCGCACAAGGAGTCCTGGGCCGACTTCTTCGACAAAGAATTCGATAGGTAGTCGGCGTTGATTGGCGTGCATGGCAAAACTGTTTCCGAGCTCGCGTTCATCGAGTTCCTCATGTGGCGCTCGTCTTGGGAAATTCCCGCGAGTACCTTCAGGTCTGAGGGCAACGCTGAGTACCTCCAAGGCGGAGCGGTAGTGCACGCGTGCGTGTGTGCGTGTTTGGTGCGCTCGTGGCACGCATGTGGCGTATGCGCACGTCCAGCCCAAACCTGCCTTCAGTGTGGGACTGGGTCAGGATGGTTCGGAGGTGTCGGGGTCCTCCCAGTTTCCTCTTTCTCCGTTTCCTGAGAAGTTGGGCGGCCTTGCGGCCCCAGGATGCATGAGACGACCCTCCAACAAATCCTCCTCCTCCTCCTCCTCCTCATCCTCCTCCTCCTCCTCCTCCTCCTATTCCTCCTCATCCTCATCCTCCCCCTCCTCCTCCTCCTTCTCCTTCTCTTCCTCCTCCTCCTCCTCCTCCTGTTACCCTGTCATCCTCCCACTCCTCCTCCCTCGTCCCTCCCCCGGCAGCGCGCGCGGCAGTGTAAGGCAGGGACGGGAGCGGAGGAGGGCGGGAAGGGCTCGGGGGGCGAGGATTGCGAGCGGGGATGGGAGCAGGGCGCAAGGCGGAAGGGATCGCGACGAGGAGGGACGGCGCCGAAACCAGGGCATTTTTTGCTCCTCCTGCTCCTACTCCTCCTGCTCCTCCTCCTCCTCCTCATCATCATCATCATCCTCATCCTCATCCTCATCCTCACCTCCTCCTCCTCCTCCTCCTACTCCTCCTCCTCGTCCTCCTCCTCCTACTCTCCTCCTCCTCCTCCTCCCTCCTCCTCCTCCTCCTCCCCCCCTTCCCCCCTCCTCCCCCTCCTCCTCCCCCTTCTCCTCCTCCTCCTCCTCCTCCTTCTCCTCCTCCTCCTCCTCCTCATCTCCTCCTCCTCCTCCATTCATGCTTCTAATAAATAACTCCTCCCTGTCGCACCCCGAGGCCAGTTTTTCGGGCGGGCCGGGCGTTTCGCCTGAGACTTCCTCACCATGTATGACCCTGAAGCTTAAACATTGGCAGCAGTTTCACATATTGAGGGCGGGTGGTTTTCAAAATGTGGCTCTCGCCTTAGCGCCACGCACATTCTTTTTAAACCATTGCAAGAGCTCCACGGATTGAGGGCGGGTGGTTTTCAAGATGTGGCTCTCGCCTTAGCGCCGCGCACATTCGTTTTTAACATTTGCAAGAGTTTCACGGATTGAGGGCGGGTCGTTTTCAAGATGTGGTTCTCGCTTTAGCGCCGCGCACATTCGTTTTAAAAGTTCGCTGGAGTTTCGCGGATTGCGGGTGGTTCCTGGTCAAAATGTAGCTCTCGCCTTAGCGCCGCACACATTCGTTTTAAACCATTGCAAGAGCTCCACGGATTGAGGGCGGGTGGTGTTCAAGATGTGACTCGCCTTAGCGCCGCGCGCATTCGTTTGAAATATGTGCAAGAGTTTCACGGTTTGAGGGCGGGTAGTTTTCAAGATGTGGCTCTCGCCTTTGCGCCGCGCACATTCGTTCTAATTATTTGCAAGAGTTTCAAGGAATGAGGGCGGGTCGTTTTCAAGATGTGGCTCTCGCATTAGCGCCTTGCACATTCTTGATACACAATTGCAAGATTTTCATGGGTTCCCATGATCGGCGTACCGGACATGGTGTTTTGAAAGGATTTACGATTTTGAGGGCGCAGCAGTTACGATGATTCGCGGAATTGAGGTCCCAGGAATGGCGTTCTGACACAGTTCAGGATCGTCAAGACGCAACAGTCAGGTTCATCCGTGGCGTTGGAATACCGAGAATAGTGTTTTGGCATGTCTCAGGGTCTTCAAGCGGTTGTTTTCCAACGAGGCAGGTCCCTCTGTAGAAGTGAACCGTTGTAGGGGCATATGAAGAGGGAGCTTGGAGGGAGGGTTTACTCTAACATCGTTGGTGGCCCTTGGGTTTACACTGGTCCTCCCTCTCCTCCTCCTCCTCCTCCTCCTCCTCCTCCTCCTCCTCCTCCTCCTCCTCCTCCTCCTCCTCCTCCTCCTCTCTCTTCTTTGAACACAGCGGCTCGGAGCGGCCAGGATCTAGGCCTCCCAGACGGGGTCGGAGGGTCGCGCCGCATCGCCGATGCAGCGGCGATGCGGCTCGACGTTGAGACCGTGCTTCCCCAAGCCGACGTCGCCGATGTATGACGCATCGCCGATGCATCGCCGATGCACTGGCGATGCGGCGCGAGCCTTCGACCCCATCTACTCGGACCCCATCCTAGGAGGCCTCGACAGTCAGGTGGTGATGACCAGGGGGGGATCTCGTGGCGGGGGCCATGGTGTCTCCCCAGATATCATGACGCCTCGTTTTATTTCGATGCGTTTCTGCCCCCCCCCCCCCCCTCGGGACGCGCACAGGCCGCGGTCCATGATCTGCGCCCCCACGCCTCTTGGACGCCCCCGAGTGTAGGAGGGGCTCCGATGCTCGGGTTGGTTCTTCGGTCTAGGTCGGGGGTCTGGTTGTGGCTAAGGCTTGCCGTGGCCAGAAAAACACTTTTTGCATGTAATTTGGCGTTCATCATGGGGCATGGTCACTGTAATGTACGAGGGTGGCGGGAGGGAGCGAGGGAGGGGAGGAGAGGAAAGAAGGCACGATTGAGCAGGGAGGAGCGGGGATCAGAGGTGGGAGCGGGGAAAGGAGCGGGAGACAAAGGGAGGAGAGGGTGGGGGCAGGAGGGAGGAGAGTCGGGAGGAGGGAAAAGGAGGCGCGTGAGGTGGAGACAGAGGGAGGGGGCCGATTGCAGGGAGGAGCGGGGGAGCTGGGAGGAGGAAGTAGGGAGGGCGTGGATCCTGGGACGGGGAAGGAATGATTCCAGTGTACCGCTGATGCCCTCGAGCGCAGGCATCACCTTGTAGATGTCGGGAGGGGCTCGTGGGTTCTCCCATCCTTACGGGTCACGTGGAATTCCGAACAAGGGTCCTGCAGTATTCCGAAGGATTCTTCCGGGGGGGGCGAACGCGCTCGGCGTCGAATTCCTATGGATGTATTGTAATCTTTTACAGTCATTCAGAAGTCCGAGGGATTCCGAGAAGATCCGAAGGATGCCTTGGCAGTCGGTGTTGGCGATGGTTGGTATGCCCTGCCTCTCTGTCGGCGGCTTGCCAGGGGGGAAGAGAGAAGGGGTGGGCCTTCTCAGAAGGCTCGGAAGTCCCCCGCCTTCTGAGAAGTTTCCCAAGTCTCCCCCGAAGGCACAGACAACTTCTTAGTAAGGCACGAGGGCTTCTGAAAAGTCCCGCCGCCTTCTGAGAAGGCCTTCTCCTTCTTACTTCTCCCCTCTCGCCGCCGACTCCTCCATCAGAGGAGCAGAAGGCCGTGACAGTGATGCGCTGCAAGATTTCTGGGGTTCCCAAGGTCTCCAAGAGTTCCGCTCGTTCCGCGCGGGCTCTAGAAGCGAGGGCTGCCAGAGTGTGTTGCGGGAGACGATCAGTGGAGAGGGGGCATGTTGCCGAAGTGTTTCCAGATGCCTGACGCATGGGTTGTCCATTGCCATGGCATCCACAAAAAGACTTACCCTGGAAATCCTGGGTAGCATCCTGAGCCGACCTTGCCATGACATCACTCTTGTCCTACTCCAAGCGGCGCGTCGCGGCCTGGGCTGGAGTGTTGTCCTCTTTTACGTAGGGCGGCCTCGCCGGGGCGCGAACCGCGCGTCGCGCCTCGCGGGGCGCGTTGCGCGAAGCTAGGTGGGCGACGCATAAAAACGGATTCGATTGTGCCGACATTCGCGCGTAAGCTTCCCGCGGAAGGTCGCGCGTGAGCGCCCTCTTGCCCAATCTGGCGTGCCGCGCCGGCTGCCCGCGTAGGCCACTGCGCACGGTCGCTATGTCCTCGCGCGTGAGACCCGTTTCTTTTCGTCGCGCAGGTGATTGGCGGCGAGCAG